CCCATGTCGTAGTGGCCCTCGCCCTCGCGCTGCCGGAAGCTGGAGTCATACCTGCGACGACAACCGCGCGCGCGCGGTGTTCGTGCGCGGAGCGAGGCGGCGCGTGGCGGCGCTCGCTTTGCCTGTACACGCGCAGCATCGACTCGGCAAAGCCTCGCGAGCTCTCGCGCGCACCAGGCGGCGGCAGCGGAGAGCGAGCCTCCTCCGCCACCAGCGCCGCGAGCGGCGGCGAAGAACGCGCGAGCACCTCGAGCACCTGCTGGCACAGGGCGCGAAAGGCGTGCTCCACCGCGCAGGCGCACTCGAGGAGGCGCGTGGCTGGAGGCGCGTCGACCGGGCCGCCAAAGTCGGCGGGGATAGAGGTGTGCAGCTCGAGCCACTCGCGCTTCCGGTCGTCGATGAAGCCGTTCCGCGCGTCCAGGTCGTCCCGGTCGTCTTCGGGCACCCGCAGCTGCCGCCTCGACGCGCGGTCGTCGAACGCTCTCTCGGCATCGCCGTAGAGCTGCTGGACGCGCTTCCCGAGGTCGGGAGGGAGCTTGAGCGTCGTGTACACGTGCGCCTTCAGCTCGCGCGCCGCGTCCTCGGCCCAGTTGATCGTCGTGACGTCGATGGACTCGTGCGAAGCTGCCATCCTCCTCCTCTGACGCCAACAAACTGCGTTTATGCTCCACTGGAAAAGCCTGGGCATTTAGAGGCTGAGCTCCGTGTCTTGATTTGCCAACAACAAACCTAGAAGACTGAAGAAAGAAATAAAACAGACAACCCAAGGGAGGTGAGAGAGGACTGGACGCCAGCGCGTTAACAGCACGAATTCTTTGCCGCAAGAGATCTCTCCGACTGCTCAATGTCGTTGCTCTGCATCTCTCTCGCCGCCGCTCCGAGCTACAGCAGCGCGGTGCCGCCTCGTGCAGGCTCAGCACTGCACGCCGCAACGGCTGGGCGCAGCCCTGCAGCAGTCGCTGTTGCCGGCCGGCGCGCGCTGCTCGACGCCGTGGCCGTCTCTGCGGCGGGATCGATTCTGGCCGGCCTTCCCTTGGCTGCGAGCGCGAGCGGCGGCGCGACGGCGGGAAAGTACACCACGATCCCGGTCGCCAAGCGCCGCTACTTTGGGCGCGTCAAGCAGGGTGTGTTTGAGTTTCTCAACATGGGCGGCGCGGTCGAGAAGGGCGACTTCAAGTCACAGCCCGTCACCGCCTTCTTTTCGCAGACAATCGTGAGCACGTCGGCGAGGCAAAAGTCGGGCTGTGCGATGTCAGACAACTGCAAGGTCAAGGAGGAGTACTCCTCGCGCTGGGAGGACCTGCAGCTCTCGATGTTTCTGCTCGGCAACGCGTTTCGGCTCGACTCGGGCAAGCCGCCCGAGAAGGTGAAGCAGGTCAAGGAGGCCAAGGCCTTCTTCTCCGAGGTGGAGAAGCTGCAGCGGGCCATGCGCCAGAACAACGCGGCTGAGGCCAAGGCGCGCTTCGCCTCGGCCACCAACGCGCTAGACGTGTACCTCAACGACGTCGAGCTGCCTCCGACAGTGGACGACGTCTACTCGAGCAAGGCGGACACTAAAGTGCCGTCGCTCTGCCAGGGCTCCTTCTGCGTCTGAGGCGCGTGAGCGCGGACCGAGGAGGCCGGCCCGCATTTATGCGAACGACACACCCGTGGTTTGGCTGGTGGCTTACTCGGTACTGGGGTGGGTGTTGGAGAGAGACAGACAGTCAGACACGACGAGAGGTGCTGTCTGGCGCTGCGAGCATAAAACGTGTGGCTGAAACGCGAGTATGAGGTTCCGTGCTGTAGACCAGTTGCCCGTAGGAGAGACACTCTCATCATTTGATCATTTGACCATTTCTCCCGGCGCCCGCCACACGCGCCACCCCACCCGCACGGCCGCGCGCGGCCCCGCGCGCTTCGCCTTCGGGCTCTCGGTCTCGCGCGCCAGATCGCGCCTCGCGGGTCGCTCTCGAGCGCCGTCCGTCGAGGTCTATCCCGCGAGACCTCGACCCCCTCGGCGCGGGGCGGTGAGGTCGGCGCTGCACTGTGCCCCCCACGCCACGGCGCGCGCACACGCGCGGCCGGCCCAACCCCCCCCCATGGGGTGTGTCGAGGTAAAGCCATACCGGCGCGCACGAGAGACCGATGCGCGATGGACATCTCACCCCGCCACCACCCGACAGCCGGGTACAACCTTTGTAGACTGTGTGTCCTGCCTACCCGCCCGCTGTGGTACGCCACACCGACTCCTACTCGTGCCCTACTCGTGCCCTCGCTCGCGCGCCAGCCGCTCCTCACTCGCCTTGAGCTCCTCGCCCTTGAAGTCGTGCGCGCCGGCCGCAGAGAGGACAAAGCGGGTCGCCGCGTCGCCGCCCCCCATTTTTTTGCGTGTCTCGAGCGTGAGCGACCCCCCCTATTCGGTTTGGGGGGCAGGGAGGGGCAAGTTGCTCACCCACGCGCGCCGGGCCTTGCACACTGAATGCCGTGCCAGCCCCTGCCTGGTCGAGGGTCCCCCCCCCCCCCCCCCCCTTGCCACAGCACCGTTGTGTGTGTGGCGAAGTTTACCTGGCCTTACCCGCCAAGGCGGCCATGGAGGTGCGCTGCGCCCCGCTGGCAGAGTGTCTTGTGTGTGTGTGCGTGCGTGTGTGCGTGTGCGTGTGCGTGTGTGCGTGTGCGTGTGCGTGTGTGCG